AAAAAAAAAAAGAACCACAAAGAACGATTCTGTTCGTACATCTTTATTAAAATGACATGATATATAGATAAACACATGGATGAAAAAGAAGAAGAAAAAAGAAAAAAAAAACCAAACAATACTATTTCACAGTTAGTAAACAGGGGTCTACTAAGGAAGAGAAATCCTGCTCTCGTGGGGGCTGGAAAAAAAAAAAAAAAACAATGTATACCAATATTAGCAAAGATTAAAGAAAAAATTTCTTTTCTTCAGTACTTTTTTCTACATATTCCCCCTTCTACCACACTGTTGTATCTTATTTTTATTTTTTTTTCTTGGCCTTTCCCCTGTACCCAATTTCGTACTTTCCATTCGGAAGCACTTGGACACCAGATTAGCCCAACATCAAACCCAATTTCAAACTGAAAATGGCCCACTCACAGAAACACAAGGTGCCTTTTTTTTTTTCTTTTCTGAAGAATCAGCTACCTCTTCTCTGATATTTTTGCGAAACCGCATTTATGGGATTTCTTTTTTTTTTTTCATTCTTGTATATAAGTATATATATTATATATATGTATATTTTGTTTCACACGCTTAACGTTTCCCTGATCTTCGGTTTTTTTTCTTTTGCTTTCCTATTTAAGAGGATGCCCTCTTAACAATTAGGTTCTCCTTTTTTTTTTCCTTTTGGATCTCCTCCTTTATTCCATATTTCTCAGCAAACAATGACGGAAAGAAGAACTTCAAAGAGATAAGAAAACAAGTGAAAAATCATAATCCGAAGAAAGATACAAACAAAAAAAAAAAGGAAGAAAGGAAGAAATGACAATACAACTGTAAAAACAGACCCTTCATTCAGTGGGAGTACTACACATCGACCACAAGAATCTCAGCACTGTTTATATTCTCACATTCCTCTTATTATCTCGTCATTTGAGTTTGTGCTGTTTTATTCTTCAGTTTTTTTTTTTTTTTTTCTTAAACGTTATTCAGTTTGTATCGAAAAAAAAAGGTGATTCCACCAGAAACCGAAAAATGAAAATAAGAAGAAACGAAAATAATACAGAACGTCTTCAGAAACTAAAACAATAATAATACAAACATGAAAGAGAAAAAAACAAGTACTGAGGAAAACAAAATAGAATTAGCAACAGACTTTTTTTTTCTTGATTCTTTTTCGGGAGGAAAGGAATTAAGAGAGTATGGATCGTTCCTTCTGTAAAAAAAAAAAAAAAAAAAATAAAAANATAAAAAAAAAAAAAAAACACATGGTGAGGGTCACTCGCTTTTTTTTTTTCCTCCCTTTATTTTTTACTCTTTATATTATTTGGAAGACAGTTTCTTTCTTTCCTTAACGTACTTTATCGTTCTACTACTATATATTCACATGAAAATAAATACAACGAGAATCTTCTTGGTAGAAACATGTTCCCTTTCCTTTAGTATAGTCACGAGAACGGATCCCTCATTACATCTCTAAAAGAAAAAAAAAGAGGAAAGTAAAGACCCCTGCGAAAAAAAAAAAAAAAAAAAAAAAAAAACAAATGTGGATCATTACAACGATGCCTTCTTTTTTTTTCTATTAACTTTTTTTTCTCTTACTTTTAGGGAAGAAAGGATATTTGGAAATATGTGTCAGATAAAGAAACCCAAAACACACCCAAGAACATATATATATATATATATATATATATACGCACATAGACAATGGAAAGTTCCGTGTCACTAGCAAAAAAAAAAAAAAAAAAAAAAAAAACGACCTTCTACCGAACTGTGTGAAGGCAATAAATCATAAACCTATACATAACTGTTTGTTTCAGGGAGTACAAAAACACTGCACCAGCACCACTTCCCTTTTTTTTATTTATTAACTTCTCTTTTTCCTCTTTTTTCCCCCTTTTTTTTATTTGTTTTCTACGGGTGGGAAAGGGGTCGTGAGTCATTTTATGACCACTTATCCCCTCCCCTGCTCCTCAGAGAGATTAGGAAATTACAATTCACATACACTCCTTTTCGAACAGACATGAAGAAAAACCATAAAAGGGAAAAATCATATCAGTTTTCCGGAAATGCAATTCTTAGTTCCCAATCATGATACTATAGAAACAGGATCCGGAAAAGAAAAGAAAAAAAAAGACAGGAATAAAAAGAAGAGAAAATAAAAGGAACACCTCTATGGAAATTTGGTCCTAATGGTTATGGAGTCTTTATTAGTCTAATTTTCCCTCCCATTTGTTTACACACTGCTTCCATAGTGTTGTCCCTAGCACGGATTAGAGACATGAGTCGTGGAGTTAAGGTGATATCACAGAAAAAAAAAAGAAAAAAAAAAAAAAAAAAAAGCACACAACAAACAAACAAAAAGCAGTTCATAATATACTTTTTTTTTCTCTCTACTTCTATGGAGAATACTCCTCTGAAGTAATTTTACAGCGTTGTGCCAAGCTTTCACGGTATAAGTTATTCTCAATGAGATTCCGATTCACAGTACTTCCATCAACACGCAAAACCTCCACGTTACTCGAAAAAACTACACTGCTTGGGCGATGAGTTGGTGTAGAATTCATATCATTAGATGCAGATCCTGCATCTGTACGGATGATGGCATCGCTCTCTTTTCTCCTCCCATTTACACTTTGGTTTTTGAAATCTGGTAAATCGTTGAAGAACAGCTGCCGGCGGGACTCCACCGCTGCGCCAGGTAATGCGGGAGGTACAGCAACAGCGGCAGAGTCAGTAGGAGAAACAGTAGTAGTAGGACTGACGTTTGAGTGTATTTGATTCCGATGTAAGGTGCACTGACCGGTATTATTGCTGATGTTAGGAAGAGAACACAGACCGTTCCTGGTCCCTGCCGTGTATGATTTCTGCGACCCCGTCGTTTTCACTATTCTCTTCTTATGCGAGGAAGAGGCCAACGACGAGAGTGAGGAGAAGGATGAAGTAGGATAGGAAGAAGTGGAGGTAAAGTATGAGGAGGTGGCAATAACACGAGAAGGATAAGAAGAAATGGACGTAGAAAGTGTTGGCAGTGACACACAATACGATGATAACGTCGACGGACTGTTCTGTGTATTTTTTCCAACAAACCCTCTCTTAGGAAAAAGCAACCAAGGATCATCTTTTGGACTAATGGAGGCCCGGCGCTTTGCTATCTTCTCACTACATCCTCGTTCCTTTTCCATACCGCTGGGTAGTCCTTCCAACCCCTGATAGCCGTCATTCGGAGGAGGATTGATGCGAGTTTCAGTACTGCTAGTGTTGTTACTACTGATGATAATATTATTGTTCGTGTTGTTAGTGGTGTTATCTTCAACGCTAACCGATACTGAATCTGACACTGTTCGTCCACAGTTTGCGTTTCCCATTTTATCTCGGTCTTATTATTTACAACACCAAGTTAGGCGCTATCTCTTTTTTTGTTTTAGTGATTTCCTAGCCACCTTCCTTGAACCTTGTTTTCGCAGTAAAAAGAAGAGAAAACACACCATATAAATAATTATTTCGTAAGACAAGGAAACGAAAAAAATAAAATAATAAGTACACAAACTACTTTGCCATTAACAACCATCAATCTTCTTTCACTTCTTAATATCCATGGTTTTGCCATGCATTCCATTTTTTTTCTTACCCCTTTACCTTTTCCAAACCCATCATAATCCTTTTCCTTTTTTTTTAACCTCTTCCAAATCATCGTTTTGTTTTTTTTTTGTTGTCTTTGACTTCCTTTTTCTTTCTGTTCTTTTTCTCCCTCTCTTACTCCCGCAGAAACACAGAGGCGTAATAAAAGGATGTAAGAAACAGTCTATGAGAAAGGCAAAAAACAAAAGAAATAAAGAGACAAAGGAGCGGTTAATGCACCATTCACACACTGAGTCTGTTCACCCATGTTTCGTAGGTCTCACCGGGGTCACGCTCACGGCAAATCTCAACGATTCCCGTCTCCCCTTGCTGCATCACAAACAGGAATGGAATTGTGGCAATGTTGAGTAATGGATGGGTGCGGTAGGGATATTCGGGATTGCCAAGGTAGACGGAGCGCTCAAGAATGCACTGAACGAACACCACACGGTGCGCCTTTCGTGCTGCCTGCACAGCCCGACACACCATCGGCTCCGCGCGCACGCATGGCGGGCACCAGGACTTGTGCGTCATACGATCGGATGCGCCCTTAAAGAGCAGCACGAGCACATCGCCTCGGGCCAATCCCGCCTTCGCCTTCGCCAGCGTGACGTCGAAGTCGCGTGGGGAGACAACAAGGAAGTTGTCAACATCGTTCGCCGGTCCGAGGATCGTCTCTGTTGGCGGGTGGGAAATATAATGGGCGTGATATGCCGCCGCCTCTGCAGCCTCCCCGTCCAACGCAGTTCCACGCACCACCGGTCGGAACGTCTCAGACTCCCGCATGAGTCGCACCACACGCGCCGTTCCATTACCGCCAGCGACAACGCGATGATAGAGGCCACGGGGAATCACCACCATATCACCCGGCTGAGCCTCAATGCGAATCCATCGGTCCTCCACATCACGTACATCCACGTAGACAAGACCGCTTTCCACGAGGCGCATCTGCTCATCCAAGTTGAGGTGCTCCTTTAGTTCATCCGCTGATTCTGAAGTGAGAGTTACCTCCTCGTACTTCTTGTAACCCAGGTTCCAAGCAAGATGCTGTAACACTGTGCGGCCCTCGTCATCTTTCGGGTGTCGTTCGTGCAATGTCTCAGGCTTCAGGCGACGTGTGTAAACACCGCACGCCTCCTGATGTTCTTCCGACAGCGGCACATCAGGTGAGCAGTGGTTTGGGGTAGCAATATTGGCCTCTTTTGTGTCAAGCACCCATGCGGAACTCATCTTTGAAATATAATATGCAACGTAAGTGTAATATTATTTATATCAATAATTTTATCCTTCCTTTTCTTTTTGTTTTGTAATAAGTAAAAATCAGAGGTTCAATAAATAATATCCTTTGTTATTGATGTTGCTGTTGTTTTTACTATTCGTTTGATCTAAAAAAAGATGCAAATAATTTGAAAGACATAACCAAAATAAAGGAAAAAAAAAAGAAAAAAGAAACAAGTAGTGCACGCAAAAAATAAAATAATAAGTACACAAACTACTTTGCCATTAACAACCATCAATCTTCTTTCACTTCTTAATATCCATGGTTTTGCCATGTATTCCATTTTTTTTCTTACCCCTTTACCTTTTCCAAACCCATCATAATCGTTTTCCTTTTTTTT